AATCACTGTTTTGTGGTCATTCTTGTAACTGCTTTTGCAGCGCCACACATGTTATGGTCCTACGAATGACATTTATGAGCCTTGTTTGGCATTTTCGTCTGGCGAAATCTAAATGTAACATATAAAGTCATACTGGATGCAATTATTCTTACTTCTAATCACAATTTGTAGATTGTATATGAGGGGAAAGTTAATCACGGCGGCCTTAATCAATCTAATGTGTCCCATTTTCTTAAGTTATAACCCATCATACAGTCTCAGGGCTTTGACAAAAGCCAGTATCTGAGACGGCTCCACATAGGCCAGCTCTCCATCTGCTGTAACAAAGTTTATGTTTCGAACGGTTGTCGTCTCGGCGTACTCAGCGATGGGGTGTTTCCCCATTTTTCCCGCAGAATCTGCATTCACCGTTGATTCTCAGCTTCAATCTACTAAGGTGTTCGGTGTTCGTTGAAGAGACAGTGTCCTATTAGAAAGCCCGTGACAATCCGAAGATTGCTCTTACTCAAGTCATGGAAAATCTTTGATTTTTCTCGGACGTCAGTTTTGAGAATTTTTTTTTCGAGTGGCTGAGACCATTGGAGGATTCCCATTCCAGGTTACAGATGGAGTCATCCAGGTTCTTGAGTTCTACTTTAAGTTTCCACTTGGGAAGCAGAACGGTTCTGATTCAGTTGGAGTGTTCATTTCTTTTCTGGTTAGATAGTTTGCTTTTTTATTGCCTTCTATCCATTGGTAAGGTGACACCCAAAGTAGGACAACTTCATTGGCTTTGCCTAAATAATTAATCACCAATAGTCTATATCTATGATTCTCAATTTCGTATGTAAATTTTAAAATCTATGTATTTATACTCTGTATTACATAGTGTACGCGTATTTATAGCCAATCCACTCGAAACCCAAACAGAACCCGACCGTTTTTCCGCTAAATATCGTTCTCAGATCCATGCATCCTTCTCATCGCTGCCGCTGCAGACATGACGATGTTCGGCGACCAGTAAGTACCATACCACGTAATAGGCCTGCTCTCACGTACCCGGTGGTACCTATGTTTGCTCGGTCACGACAATCGGCCGCGCCGTGGGAAGGCGGAGAGGGTCTTCTTCGCGGCCCCCCTCGGCCCCACCCGACCAGCCGCATTCCAGCGCCTTCCTCACCTTGGTGCGTCGCTGCGCGCCGCCTGTTGCTAGGAGCTTCCGTGCAACGGAGAAGAGACGAAGAAATGGATGGTTGCATGCAGGAGAGGAAGAAGAGATGGAATGAAGGAGAAGAAAGGCGAGGAATGGGGACCAATGTCGTGAATCCCAAATTAAAACATTTAGTGACTGTTCAAGCTATCTGAATATTTTTTTTAATTCCGGTGGTGCATCGTCGTTGGAAACAGGACGTCGCTTCCCACACAAAGTGTCGTAACTGACATTTTGAAAATTTTGCAGTAGAGTGAAAGAAAAACCGTCTTTTATTGTGATCTAAAAATTAACTTTTGTTGGATATGCCATTTAAAGTGCGTCTGCTGGATCTGTGTCTATGAAAGGAATGCGGACAAAAAACATTTAAATAAACAGCAATATATTTTATACGTCGACTTGACAAGTACGTCACCGCAAATCGCTCCGCCCACTCATTTTATTGGCTACTTGCAAATTTGTCGAATTTTTATCGATGGGACGCGTCTTCTGATTTTTTACGAAAAACATCGAGAGAATATCGTTTCCCCGCTCACGGATACCCCTTAGCTACAGAACGGACAGACGTACTGTATGTTGTCTGCTTCAGCATAAGAATATTAGCTGTTACAGTTACGACACTATGAGGACTGTTTTTCACACAAAAGGACGTTTTTTTCACTCTACTGCGACATTTTCAGAATGTCAGTTACGGCACTTTGTCTGGAAAGCGTCGAAGAAATCCCATGCAAATTTTGAACTGTCCAAATATTGACTTCCATGGTAATTTTACAGCAAAGTCGCATATAGGTTTTTTAAAGGTCTGCATATGTTGAATAATTAATCATGCGAAATTTAAAGAACCTTGGACAAGCCGATTTTAACTAATTTAAGAAAATGCATCTATTTTTAAATTAAAACTGAACAGGTAAAAATGCAAAACTAGGCACAGAGACAGATTGTATATGTTAAGAGTACAGACATTGATTTCGTACAAATAAAAAGTAAATGGTACGGACAACATAGAATAAATCAATAAATCGTAAAAATATATACAGATGAATTAGTAATTGGTTGCTTTAAACCAAAATGTAGCTTTTTAGATATTAGATATATATCCCGATCTTTCCAGAAAATCAAAAAGTTTTGGTTGCTCACTAGTAGAAAAAATAACTGACATGTCTGACGAAAGATTGCAGGCCTCTGTTAGGCCCATTGTCAAATGTTATTTGTTATGCTGTTTAGAGTTTTACACAACTACATTCTACGTTATAGTACTTATAATTAGTGTCTCCGAAAAGAACTTGGTAATTTAAAACTTGTTCGAATTAGGCAAAAGTCTAAAGGTGCGTATTCACTTGCAACAAAACACTCCGAACGAACCAAACGCGCCGCGCGCGCTGTAACAAGTTTGTGTAGTCAGTACGCTGCGCTGCGCCGAACCGAACCGAACGCACCAAACATTTTCCGAAGCTTGTCGGTAAACGGGATTTGCTCAAAAGAATTTATTCGTTGCCTGGTGTTCAGTGGATACGGCAGTTTTGAACGTTCGTTGTGTTTGTTTTGTTTTTAAACTGTACCTAGCTATGGAGTGGAACAGAGAAAAGTGTTTAAAGTTAGTTGATGAGTTTGAAAGGCAGTCTATTTTATTAAATTAATAATTAATTAAATTTTTCATATGCATATAATCTAGGTCACTAAGTAAGGCCATATTTTGACGGCGCGAAAAGAGGCGTATTGCCCATATTTTTCGCACTTTCCTTTTTTTCTCTTTTTTGTTACCCGCTAATGCCTCTATAATTAAAAAAAGCACCAGCGGCTATGGTAATATCAGATGCATCCCTGTCGACAAACACACTAACACTGATTACTGGTGGGAATGCAGCGAACACCGCAAACGGCGGAACGCTCCGCGCAAAATGTTTTGTTGCAGGTCGTTCAGAGCGCGCCCGGAAAACGTTTTGTTGCAGATTGTTTGGAGTGCGCGGCGCGTCTGGTTCGTTCGGAGTGTTTTGTTGCAAGCGAATACCCACCTTAACATATCACACACAAAATCGTTATGGTTGAATCGTTATCACGTTTGCGACTTCGTTCAACATGGGAGCCAATATTTGAACAATACAAAATTTGCATGCGATTTCCTACGTTTTCAACGACGATGGTATAGGACAGTCGAAGAAATTTCTCAGACCATACGACTGAGAAAAATCAAAGATTTTTCCTGATTTAAGGAAGAATAATCTTCGGATTGTCACGGGGTTTTGAACAGGACACTATCTCCCCAATGAACACCTCAGTAAGTTGAAGCTAAAAAACAACTGCGAATGCAGATTCTGTGGCGAAAATGGGAAAAACCCAGAACACCTCATCACTGAGTGTGCCAAGACGACAAACATTCGTGCCATAACCTTTGGTACAACTGATATCAGAAATCGATAATGGAGAAATAACCTCTCTAAAACCGTCTCAGATACTTACGGCTTTAGTCAAAGTTCTGAGAGTGCATGATGAGTTATAACTCAAGAAAGGGGGACGCAGTCGATCTGTAAGGTCGCGATGATTAACTTCTATCCTCTTATACAATCTACAATAACCAAAGGTTATTTAACTACAATAAGAGAAAATATAAAAAAATAAAAAATAAGAAAACATAAAAAATAAAAGAAAAAATATTTTTAAGGGGGTTTAAACAAAAGTTAAAACTTCATTTTACGTTTTACTGAAAGGTATTAAATCGGGCCTAAATTAGTTCTTCTGTATTTGTTGGTATCTCAGTACCAGACGTTCATTATCTGTTTCTTCTTCGGCTGGTGGTTTATTGCGTAAGTTACTACAACCGCAGATTCCGCAGAACGGGTAGGATAGGATAAAGGGAGATTTACGAGCAAGTTTGCTAGTCGGCAACCCACTCGCACAAGACTTTTTCACAGTTGGGTTCCTTATTAAGCAGTAAAGATACGAAAGGAGTGAATTACGGTGGAACCCATGCAAGGGGTTCCAAAGAAACTCAATACAAAAAATATTTTTTACGTAAAATTTTAAAAAAATTGTATGGATGTTTCATATACTGAGTAAGGAAGTTTTTACAAGGTGTTCCAATAATCATAACTTAATTGAACAAAACTTACCCTTTTTTTTTGTTTTGAGTCCCCCCATTCTTCCGATTAGATAATAAAAAAATTGGCGCCGGGAGGCACGTATAGCCGCCCATACTAAAATATGTTAATAAAAAGTTGGCAGGCAGTTCTTTTAAACAATATTTCATATTTTTTTATCTCAAAAACTGCGACTTTGACTGATTTTGATGTTATTACAAATTTTGTTTCAAATATTATTCCTAATCTTAAATTGAACTGTAATTTTAGAGTTACGATTTTTTCAAATTTTTAACCCCCTCCTATACCCCCTTACCAACCCCCCACCCCCACCAAAAACTAATGGCCAGATTCTCGGGTGCCACAGTATTTTTGTGCCAAATTTGGTTAAAATCGGTTCAGTGGTTTTTGATTTATCGTGTTAAAGACAGACGGACAGACAGACACCATGAAAATATTTTGTATTTAGGTCATTTATGACCCAAATTACTCATTTTGAGTGAAATTAAAAAAAAAAATTTGCCGATCTTAATAGCCTAAAATAAACAAGTAACATGTCAAAATAAACAAGCAACATGTCAAAATAAACAAGCAACATGTCAAAAATGTTTATTTTTGTTTGCAATAAAATGTAAACTTTGTAGTCAAAGATATTTCAGTTTAAATATCTTTGTTTGTAGTAGTCTGTAATCATCTCAGAACTTACGTTGGGAAAAACAATAATACATAAAATTTGGTAAAATAATTGCAGCTCCATTTTTTAATAAAATGTTGTTGAACTTGACAAATTTTACTATTTCTTTGAAAATTCTACAATATCATTCAGTATGAATTCATGTAAAAAATATATTATTCCATTATGTAGTGATTTCAGACACAATCCATCGAAATAGTATCAGTTAAAAATTAATGTTTAATAAAATATCATAATAATGCAATATTATGATTTATCATCATAATACAATATGATCGAAAAAAAAAACGGTATCAGCGATGGCTATGAAATGAAGATCGCTGTCATTTTTTATATGTAAAATTAAATGGGAATGTCATCCATCGTCATTTCCAAGCAAACTGGACACTGTTTTTTTTTCGATCAATCGGTATAACAAACTATATCACAACAAAGCTTAAAAATCTAATAATCAGTCTACTTTATACTCGTTGGGTACAGCCTTTGGTTCATCACTTGACTTGTTCAAAAGGGAATTATTTAACTCTTCATCTGTCCTTTCTAAATCTTCAGCCAGCCCGATGATCATCTCTCTGAACACTAAACCGTCCAGGTTTTTGGACAGGTACCTCAGGAACAACCAATCAGTGTAGCTGCAATATCTGGATACTGTAAGGACGTCCCAGGGATTAACTCTTCCAGGTCCTGTAGTAGCGTAAACCAATCTGTTGAACGACCTGCTTTTGGCGTGTAGCAAGACTGTTATAAACCTGTTGACACAAAGAATATGGTTTTATTAAATCTTAATTTATTACCTTTGAATAGGGATTTTCACATAACTCGTGTCTTAAATGTAGACAATTGACAATTATATGGACGAGGAAGAAGCAGAAGAACTCTCTGATTATTATTACTGTTTATATCTTCGATTTACCTCCATATTAGTCCTGCAGCACTGCAAATCAACAAGAATATATACCAGAACCAAAGAAAAGTGTAGATTTTGTCGTTGACCACGTTGAGTGCCATCACACACATAGCATCATGCCATTGGATCGATCCTGAAGGACCATATTTATGGAAAGTGCACTTAGTCACCTAGAAATGCAATAATCATTTAACCAATCACAATAATAAAAAGTGTTGATATATTCATAGTTGCTTACTTATAACGTGTTTTTTTTAACATAATAGCTGAAAAAATAATCCAAATGTAGTATATAGCCAGCATAGCATAATAAATAGCCAAATAGTAGTTTAGGTATATAGGGTCTTTCACAAAACATGTGCCATCTCTGGTGGACAGATTCCTCAAGAAAAAATAAGACTTATTTTTTATATCAACGATTCTGCTTTGTTTCGTAGGTACAGATTGTTAAGGTGCGTACTCACTAGAGCATTTTGCTCCGAACGAACCAAACGAGCCGAGCGCGCAGAGCCGAATTCGGCAAGTAAATACCTGTTCGCGAGCAAAATTTCACCGAACCGAGCGCGCCAAACATTTTCGCCGGCTTGTTGGTACATGCATTTTGCTCAAAGGGGATGCGTTGTTCAGTGGGTACGGAGGTTCGTTGCGTTCATGGTGTTCGTCCTATTCGGAGCATTCGCGGCTAAGCATTTTCATTGTTTTGATTTTTCTTTGCTCAAACGAAATGGAGTGGAATAGAGATAAATGCCTTCAGAATAGACATTTATGAACAATATCCAGTGCTTTGGAGAGAATTCAAAGGATGGATTATACTATAATAAAGTTAAGAAGTTTGATGCGTGGAGGTAGATAGATGAGATCATGAGATGTGCTTCTGGAGAAGCAAAGAAAAAATTTAAAGTCTTCGAAGAAAGAAGGCGAAAGGAAAAAAATCTATAGGAACGGGAAAAGGTACATTTACACAATGATGAATACTATCCATATCTCTCAGTAGCCTTCCATTTTGACGGCGCAAAAACAAATTTCTTGCCCATAATTTTCTTGATGTCTTCTTCTTTTCCCTATTGGTAATGTTTTGTATAACGAAAAAAGCACCAGTAGCGATAATAGCATCTTCCGGGTCCATTAACATACTCGATGCAGAACGGTGACCTAGATATTCAAAGCGCGAATAAAAATTAAATACAACTGAACGGTGGGAACACAGCGAACGCAACAAGCACTCTGAACATCGCGATATTTTCCTTATTGAGTTCGTTCGTGCGCGCTCGGCTCGCTTGGTTCGTTCGGATCAAAATGATCTAGTGAGTACGCATCTTTAAATTCTTATTTTTTTTCAATTTATTATAATTTTGAGTTATTTTATATAAATAATAAATAATTCCTTCCTTGACAATATGAAAAAAAAATCCTATAACTGTTTTTCATAAATCTTACTTGAGGAAATATTAACTTAAATATAAATAGTATACAGGGTGTTCCTTAATGATATGTTAATATTAATTAAGGGGGCAATTCTTGAACCTATTCTAAGAAAAAAAAACTTTATATGAATGTATGTTCTAAACATCTTAATTTCTGAGATACAGAGGGTGGTAAAATTTTCTAAAAAAATGTATTTTCATAATAACTCTAATTTTATTACAGATATCTTTATGAAACTTGATACACACAGTCTTCTATGCATCAAAATATTTTTTTGATGTACAAAGAATTTTATTTATTTCAACCAGTGCCCTCCATACGGGTTTTACATTGAATATATTTTTGGAGAAAAAAGTGGTACACCACTGACTTCTCTTAAAATAAAAATTATTTTCAAAACCTCTGTTCATTCCTAAACATTTTTTATCTTTTGATATTTTTCATCCGAAGTATAGTTTTCGCTTAAAAAATTAAAGTCAGGTTACTTCAGGGCCAAATCACTGAAAATCAGATGCGGTGACTGTTGAATTGATGCGGTGACTATTGAAATAATGTCTGCATAGGCGGGAAGGAAATTAAGAAACAAAACAATTTTTTTTGTATATCAAAATAAGCATTTTGATGCATTTAAGACGTGTATCAAATATAACACTATTACATAAATATTTTGAAAAAAAAATTAGAAAATTTTACCACCCTGTATCTGAAAAGATAAGATGTTTAGGGCATATATTCATATAAAGTTTATGAAATATGAACGAACTGTATAGAACAGATGAATTTAAAAATGGAATGCTAATGTTTAAGGGGGTAAGAGATGGACCATATTATAGATACTATTTTAAAATGAGAATCTTATAGCAAATCCACGGTTTGGAAACAAATATGACGCATCAAACAATATTTAGAAACAGCGTTTAAAAAAACAGAACTTTAGTATAAAAGTTAATTTCGATAGCCCTGTATTTGAATAAAAATCATTTTAAATTGTGTAGTACTAGGTACTGTCCGAATATATCATAAAAATATTATATTAAAATTTTTAAAAAGAAAACCTGATAGGGAGATCCTAGGAAACACTGGATTACCCTGTATAAGAAAGTTTATTGCAAAGAAAATAAGTAAAAATTCTCTTAAACAAAGCAAAAAATGATATTCAATACACCGTGTAGATATGTTAATAACATATAATATTAAACAGAGCGCCACACGTGGCCACACCATGTACAGGGTGTCCCATTTTTTAATTATGAGTACCTATAGATTCAAAGATGCGGTTTTCACTTCACTGTACTTTTTTATGAAACTATAATAGAGAGTTTAGAGTTTTTTTTCTTTTTTTTTAATACAGGGCGAATTTCAAAATGTTGCTGTTTCCGACCCCCTTCTTACCTCAGTTATCTTATAACTTATCGAAAAGGTGAAAACTGAGATAGAATTTTTCACGTAGTAGGATAAATAAGGTAAGAAATGCATTATTTAACTTTTTAAAATAGGCGGCCGGTTGAAATTAGGTAATCAAAACAATCAAACATGTAATTTATTCGTTAAAATTTGGTTATTGGCTATTCCGCGCCCGTTTGTCTAGAATTAGTGTAAATGTGCTTCAAAAATATCAATAACTCTGATACTCTGATTGATATAGGGGTGTTAGCTAAAAGCTGCAAAAGTTCATTTTCGATGCAATTTATTAAAAAAACAGGACGGAAAGCAAAATTCTCTTGTAAAACTAAATAAAATGAAATAATATACTCTTTTAAGCTAGGTTGATTTATGTTAAAAAGCTAAATAGTGCATTTTTACCTTATTTATATATATTATATATATATTTTTAGAAAGGTCACAATAAGATAAATTAGAATAAAAAATAATTAACATGGTGTCCCAATTGAAACAAAGATAAGTTTGAGTCATATTTCGAAAATGTCAGCTCTTAGCGAAAAACTAGTTACTCCACTGGATTCTACGTGAAAAACTCTACGGAACTCAATTTTCACCTTATCCATAAGTTATAGGATAATCGAGATACGAGGGGAGTCGAAAAATACAAAATTATCAAATTCGCCCTGTATTTCAAGAACTAAGAGGGTTAGGACAAATCTGTGTGTAGCATCTTTAGTTTTATAAAAAAAATTTAACGCAGGGGTTTAAAAATCGCTGTGAATTTTTGTATCTCTGCCCGTAAACGGGAAACCACATAAAACAAACGAAAATGAGACACCCTGTACTGTGCAACTTATTTGTAATCTATTGTTACTTAAGGTCACAGCTTCAAGGATCACATTTCAAAAATATTTACGTTTCCTAATCATCATCTTGTTTCTGATAAAAATATTCCTCGAGTTAGCAGAAACAAGATTCACGACTATGCATATCAATTCGTCGAAATACTCCAATCACCTGGAGATAAGCTTACTACTTAATCACAACCATCAGTATGCGATCAGCTGTTAATTTTATCCAGTATTTATTTGAACAAATATAGAAATGAGATTTTTTTTACGTAGAACGAACGATGTACAAGGTGCAAGTGTGATTGTTTATGACCTTTCTAGAAATTACTTAACATTGCACGTTTTCAACACAATATTTGTTTTTAGTGAAATAATGACATAATACAATAAATTTACTTAGAATTTATCAAAAAATGATTTTTATTTTAAAGAAGATACCAAAACAATCGATATGCTACATCATCATAATGATTATTATCATAATATGCAGTTTTATTCAATTATTCAAGATCTAATTATCGACAGATTTCATGTACCTACAATGTCCGATACTTATCTTCATCTATTTAGGAGATAAAAAGTAACCTTATCGAACGGGAGCTTTGAACACCCACAGAAGAAAAATTCCACTCCTCCAACTCTCAGTGGATAACGCACAACTTTGAGAAACTCACGACTTCGCTGTATAGTGTTGATCAATAAAATGTATTGGAAGAGAGAAGCGTTTGCTCAGCTGGTAGAAGACCATACCATAACGTGGTATAGTGATGCTTCCAAAACCAAAGAAGGAGCTGGGATAAGAGTATTTGGGACGAAAACTAAATACTCCGTACCAATAAGCACCTACCTTCAGGCAGAAATCTACGCTATCGAAAGATACGTACAACTTATCTTTGATGGGAACTATCGGAAACAAGAAATAGCCATCTTATCCGATAGTCAATCAGCATAAAAAGCGATCAACACAGTAACCATCAGTTCAAAGTTGGTCAAAGAATGCCTAGAGAAGCTGAAAAAATTGAACAAAGATAATGAAGTTTTTAGTCTGAGTGCTAAGTCACCAAAGGATAGAAGGCAATGAAAAAGCTAACGATCTAGCTAACTGGACCAGAACCATTCCGCTTCCCAAGTAAAAACCAACTTAAAGCAGACCTCAAGAACCTGGAAGATTCCATTCGTAACCTGGAATGGAAATGTTATAATGGTCTAAGAAGATACTCGAAGAAATTTCTCAGAACTTGCGACCGAGAAAAATCAAATATTTTCGTTGATTTGAGTAAGAACAACTGCAACCTAACCATTCGTGTCATGAAGTTTGGTACGACTGATATCGGAGATGGAGAATTAACCTCTGTAAAACCGCCTCAGATACTGGCTTTTGTCAAAGCCCTGAAAAGCCCTGAGAGTGTATGGTGAGTTGTATAACTCAAGAAAGGGAGATACAATAGATTTGTAAGGTCGTGGTGATTAAAGGTCTGTTCCCAGAAGAATCCCTGACTAGTCAGCGCGTTTCTTATTGGTTAAAATGCGTAGAAACCTGATTGTTAGTCAGGTTTCTACGCATTTCAACCAATAAGAAACGCGCTGACTAGTCATGGATTCTTCTGGGAACAGACCTTAAACCGCCCCCCCTCACATACATTATACATTCTACAACCTTATCGAATTATGGTCTCACTACAGGACAGTAGGTAAAGTATGTAAGTCAGGGAGGATTTCGTGGACATCGAAAAAATTACACAAAATATAATTTACTGTGAATTATAACGCCAGATACCAACTGTACCTGTCATGTATCCTTTCGTTGGACAGACTACAAATTTCCAGTTGTTTGATTCAACAACATGGTGCATTTACAAAAAAATTGCTATTTTATTTTTTAGATTTTCTTCTAGTCGCGAAATACCCAGAAGTCTTATTTATTTGAAGAAATGAACCCCGCCACACAAAAGCACAGGAGTTCTTCTGTGACAAAAGTATAGATATTATTTATAGAGACTACTATTTCAGGGTTGCCACCCGTGCCGATTTTGTCGGGACAGTGCCGATTGGTGCCGATTTTGATCCAAAATTCCCGCGTTCAGCGTTAAAAATAAAGCGTTTAATGGAAATTAGGGCCCTTGTAGGGCCTTCTTTTTATGCTTGCACATACTAAGTATGTTATATTTTAAAGTGTTTTGGTGTATTGTGGTGAATCAGTGTTTTATTTTGCCAAAAAATGTTCATTTAAAAATAATGAAATAAACTAATAAAGTACAACAGNTCCGCGCCCGTTTGTCTAGAATTAGTGTAAATGTGCTTCAAAAATATCAATAACTCTGATACTCTGATTGATATAGGGGTGTTAGCTAAAAGCTGCAAAAGTTCATTTTCGATGCAATTTATTAAAAAAACAGGACGGAAAGCAAAATTCTCTTGTAAAACTAAATAAAATGAAATAATAATACTCTTTTAAGCTAGGTTGATTTATGTTAAAAAGCTAAATAGTGCATTTTTACCTTATTTATATATATTATATATATATTTTTAGAAAGGTCACAATAAGATAAATTAGAATAAAAAATAATTAACATGGTGTCCCATTTGAAAAAAAGATAAGTTTGAGTCATATTTCGAAAATGTCAGCTCTTAGCGAAAAACTAGTTACGCTACTGGATTCTACGTGAAAAACTCTACGGAACTCAATTTTCACCTTATCCATAAGTTATAGGATAATCGAGATACGAGGAGAGTCGAAAAATACAAAATTATCAAATTCGCCCTGTATTTCAAGAACTAAGAGGGCTAGGACAAATCTGTGTGTAGCATCTTTAGTTTTATAAAAAAATTTAACGCAGGGGTTTAAAAATCGCTGTGAATTTTTGTATCTCTGCCCGTAAACGGGAAACCACATAAAACAAACGAAAATGAGACACCCTGTACTGTGCAACTTATTTGTAATCTATTGTTACTTAAGGTCACAGCTTCAAGGATCACATTTCAAAAATATTTACGTTTCCTAATCATCATCTTGTTTCTGATAAAAATATTCCTCGAGTTAGCAGAAACAAGATTCACGACTATGCATATCAATTCGTCGAAATACTCCAATCACCTGGAGATAAGCTTACTACTTATAATCACAACCATCAGTATGCGATCAGCTGTTAATTTTATCCAGTATTTATTTGAACAAATATAGAAATGAGATTTTTTTTACGTAGAACGAACGATGTACAAGGTGCAAGTGTGATTGTTTATGACCTTTCTAGAAATTACTTAACATTGCACGTTTTCAACACAATATTTGTTTTTAGGGAAATAATGACATAATACAATAAATTTACTTAGAATTTATCAAAAAATGATTTTTATTTTAAAGAAGATACCAAAACAATCGATATGCTACATCATCATAATGATTATTATCATTATATGCAGTTTTATTCAATTATTCAAGGTCTAATTATCGACAGATTTCATGTACCTACAATGTCCGATACTTATCTTCATCTATTTAGGAGATAAAAAGTAACCTTATCGAACGGGAGCTTTGAACACCCACAGAAGAAAAATTCCACTCCTCCAACTCTCAGTGGATGACGCACAACTTTGAGAAACTCACGACTTCGCTGTATAGTGTTGATCAATAAAATGTATTGGAAGAGAGAAGCGTTTGCTCAGCAGGTAGAAGACTATACCATAACGTGGTATAGTGATGCTTCCAAAACCAAAGAAGGAGCAGGGATAAGAGTATTTGGGACGAAAACTAAATACTCCGTACCAATAGGCACCTACCTTCAGGCAGAAATCTACGCTATCGAAAGATACGTACAACTTATCTTTGATGGGAACTATCGGAAACAAGAAATAGCCATCTTATCCGATAGTCAAGCAGCATAAAAAGCGATCAACACAGTAACCATCAGTTCAAAGTTGGTCAAAGAATGCCTAGAGAAGCTGAAAAAATTGAACAAAGATAATGAAGTTTTTAGTCTGAGTGCTAATTCACCAAAGGATAGAAGGCAATGAAAAAGCTAACGATCTAGCTAATTGGATCAGAACCATTCCGCTTCCCAAGTAAAAACCAACTTAAAGCAGACCTCAAGAACCTGGAAGACTCCATTCGTAACCTGGAATGGAAATGTTATAATGGTCTAAGAAGATACTCGAAGAAATTTCTCAAAACTTGCGACCGAGAAAAATCAAATATTTTCGTTGATTTGAGTAAGAACAACTGCAACCTAACCATTCGTGTCATGAAGTTTCGTACGACTGATATCGGAGATGGAGAATTAACCTCTGTAAAACCGCCTCAGATACTGGCTTTTGTCAAAGCCCTGAAAAGCCCTGAGAGTGTATGGTGAGTTGTATAACTCAAGAAAGGGAGATACAATAGATTTGTAAGGTCGTGGTGATTAAAGGTCTGTTCCCAGAAGAATCCCTGACTAGTCAGCACGTTTCTTATTGGTTAAAATGCGTAGAAACCTGATTGTTAGTCAGGTTTCTACGCATTTCAACCAATAAGAAACGCGCTGACTAGTCATGGATACTTCTGGGAACAGACCTTAAACCGCCCCCCCTCACATACATTATACATTCTACAACCTTATCGAATTATGGTCTCACTACAGGACAGTAGGTAAAGTATGTAAGTCAGGGAGGATTTCGTGGACATCGAAAAAATTACACAAAATATAATTTACTGTGAATTATAACGCCAGATACCAACTGTACCTGTCATGTATCCTTTCGTTGGACAGACTACAAATTTCCAGTTGTTTGATTCAACAACATGGTGCATTTACAAAAAAAATGCTATTTTATTTTTTAGATTTTCTTCTAGTCGCGAAATACACAGAAGTCTTATTTATTTGAAGAAATGAACACCGCCACAAAAGCACAGGAGTTCTTCTGTGACAAAAGTATAGATATTATTTATAGAGACTACTATTTCAGGGTTGCCAGCCGTGCCGATTTTGTCGGGACAGTGCCGATTGGTGCCGATTTTGATCCAAAAATCCCGCGTCCGTCCCCACGCAAAGCCCTAATGTCCCGATTTTTATTTGTTTAATAACCACAATTTTATTAAACAATAAAATTGTACATTTTATTATTAAAAATACATGTTATTAATTAATACATGTTATACAATAATTAAAATACATGTTTATTAATTTCTTGAATTTCTTGATATTTTTGGAATTAAAAAAAGTATATATTGATACTCTGTTTAATGGATATTTGATAATAAAAACTTGCGTAAAGGAAATTTGCCAAAAAGGATATAAAAATTATACATAAAAAATAAAGTATTTTTAAAACTAGAGTAAATTATATATGTCTTCATTGTTTAAGGTTGTTATTTATATATTTTCACATTTTCACGTATGATGTTGAAGTGGACAGACGCTAGAAATAGATGTTCAGTTAAGCTCATCATTTAATTTTAATATATCGCATATATAAGAATTTTTGGATTTTATTAAAAATGATAAGGCGCTTATTATTACAGTAACAAAACAAATAAAAAATATTCACTACAGTTGGTTTTCACTAACCATCAGTTTTCTTCATCTGCTGATGATGCTAAGCTGGTTAACGAAACGCGCGTTCAGCGTTAAAAATAAAGCGTTTAATGGAAATTAGGGCCCTTGTAGGGCCTTCTTTTTATGCTTGCACATACTAAGTATGTTATATTTTAAAGTGTTTTGGTGTATTGTGGTGAATCAGTGTTTTATTTTGCCAAAAAATGTTCATTTAAAAATAATGAAATAAACTAATAAAGCCAATTATACAGATTATACAGCTGAAACTTTTGATTTTGTTTAGGTTTTGTTCTAGTTGTTTTAGATTTAATTGATTGTTTACTAATTTTGTTTTCAACTTTTAATTTTTCATTTTTATATAATTATTTATAAATTTCGAATAGTTTTTTAAGTTAACGCAAAAAGGCATAAAATATTGTTACAAAATCCGATGGGCACATAAAATTTTACATTTAAGAAAAAAGGTTGCACCATGCTATCCCGATTTTTTAAATACAAAAGGTGGCAACCTTGTATTATTTATATCGTCTCCAAGATACACAATACATAATTTTAATTATTTAAATATTGTTTTTATCATATTATGACGCTGCAAGTATGTAATTTAACAAACTACTAAAGTTAACCGCCGTAATTTGAATAGCGAGCCATTAAGTAAAATCTAATTCTCAACAATAACCCATAAAAATAAATAACATTTGAATACTAATTAGCATTTCTGCGGTTTTTATCACCACAAAATATTCACTTAACGATTTTTCTTAACTAAATATGGTAATTAAAACAACACAACATGTATAATCGATGGTTATGTAATGAATTCAGGTTTTTAAACTTTATAACAGGACTTTGGTATATTACCTGTTATTTGAATATATTAACTTTTTAATATTAATAAAAAATATACATTTTTTATGTTATAAAATCAATATATACAAGTATATCATTGTAAAACTATAAAAATATACATACCTTCGGAAAAACTTCGTCTAATGGATCGACACTGGATTCCAAACCTACCCTGATGACGTCAGCACCAAGACTGAGGAAATCTCCATTCAGGAACTTGTTCGTGATATAGATTTGTAAAAGGACATTTCCGAAGTTCAAAAACTCGCACAGGATGAGATTCATAGACCAATGACCGCTGATATACACTCTTTCTAGGAAAGCCTTCTTTATAATGTTGATTTTTTCATCTCTGAAAAATTAACAACAGCAGATGTTGATTACCTCCTGGAATCCCCCCCGGCTTAGTTATATCTCAATGAGGTATAACTAAGCGCCTGATGAAGAAATAATCAGACAATTAGGCAATAAGACAGTAATTACTTCATTAAAATACTTGAAAACGCTTAATACTCAGTACTTATTATAAATTCTACAAAATACTTATAATAAAAAATTCGAGTGTACTCATATAACCGCGCCTTCGACAGAATAAAAAATTTTTCAGACGCTGCAGATACATTATTCACAGATCAGTATTCATAATTCCCCATCATATTCAAATTCAAGCACATCATATTGTATTTTATGTGGACTACCTAAAATTGACAAAACAACATATACCTCTACGACCGCTACAGACAGCTCTAGAAATATTCCTACAATATGAACTCAAGTATGTACTTAATCCCATCAGCCTACAATTCTAGGGCAAGACATCATCATTCATAAATAATTTTAAACTATTGCTGGAGATAATCAGCGACACAGAGCTATTATTGGGTTTGTAGTGGAATCCTTTCCAAAGACAGGAAAGCTGTCAAAAGTGTAGAGGGTCTACTAAGAGGTTAACCATTTACAGTTCCTTTAAAAATGGAAAAAATAACAACACATTAGCCTGTAAATATGTGATTCCTTGTGCTAGAAAATAATAAGCCATTGGCGAAGTTTTTTGAAAAGGCAATTTGAAAAGCATACAACTGGTGAATACAATCTAGAGATCAAGAAGTAGAACCTAATAAGTTTTTGCTCAGTTTTGATGTGTAAAGCGAATATGAACGTACCTATACAACGGAATCATTAAGCATTAAGAAAGGACAAAGGACAGCTTTAGAGACTAGAAATGAATCAATGATTCACTTATTTGAGGTTTTTCTCATAGCTATAACGTCCAAATCATTGATGAGTTTCTTCACACAAAAGAGGTTGAACCAATGGATTCATCGTATATAGTCGCTTATGTCTACATGTGATTTAATTCCCAGGCACGTCAAACCTCCACCAATACATTAACGCTATAATTACAATTATTTAACGACGTATTTTTATTTTGAACTAAAATTTTAGAGTTTATCGATGGCCCAGGTGCAATACCCAGTATCTGCAAGTTTTGGACAATTTTTTTTAGAAAAACGAGACACAATTTTAGCACCATCCGGTCTATAACAAACCTGCCCACACCATAATTTCAACCAAAGAACATTGGTAAAAGAGGGCATAATTATGATGGTTCCTAATATAATAGACAGGGTAATTTGGCAAACAACATCTGCATTTTGAAAGAACCCTTTATCGCAAGAAATAATGAATAAAAGAAATGAGCTCTTATAAAATTACTGGATAAAAAAATGGATATCTGAGAGATTAATGCATTCCTTAAGAAAAATGACAGACAGAGATCTTAATCCGAGCAAGAGGACCATAACGAAACTACGTTGCTGTGTGCCAATCCTTCACTATAAAGGAATCAATGATAAAAACTAGAAGGAAATTAAAAAATAAGTTAAACCAAGAAAAAAAAGGGTATTTAACTCTGGGTATTTAAGTAAGATGTGTACTTATGGGGAAGAAACTCAATCATTTCAAATCTAGAATGCCACTTTATCTAAAGAAGAAAACATTCGACTAATGTGAACTACCAGTGATGACTATGCATGCGAAACCTGGACATTTCAAACGGACATTATAAGGAAACTGCAGGTCGCACAACGCTCAGTGGAACGGAATATGCTGGGAATAACCAAGAGAAACTGTAAAAGAATAGAGTGAATATGACAAAAGACCCAGGTAATAGATATCAACTTCAGAATCAAATTCCTCAAGTGGCAATAGGCAGGACACCAGGCAAGAAGGACGGAAAACAGATGGACCACAAAAATTACAGCATAGTACCCACGAGGAATTAAGAAACCTAGAAGAAGACCGAACCTGAGATGGGACCATGATATTAGGAAATTAGCAGCGATAACTTGAGTCCGCATAGCCAACAAAAGACAACAATGGGCCCAACTATTTTTAGAATTAGAATTTAGAATGAGTGGGAGGGGGGTTAATCACTTCGACCTTACAGATCCATTGTGTCCCCCTTTCTTGAATCATAACTCATCATACAGTCCCAGGGCTTTGACAAAAGCCAGTATCTGGGACGGTTTTATAGAGGGTAGTTCTCCATCTCCAATATCAGTCGTACCAAAATTCATGGCACGAATGGTTGTCGTCTCGGCGCACTCAGTGATGAGGTGTACTGGTGTTTCCCCATCTTCCCCACAGAATCTACATTCGCCGTTTCTTCTTAGTTTCAATCTACTGAGGTGTTCATTGAGGAGACAGTGTCCTGTTAAAACCCCGTGACAATCCGAAGATTGTTCTTACTCAGACCCAGGAAGATCTGTGATTTTTCTTGATCATAAGCCCTCAGAAACTTCTTCGAGTGTCTTAGACCATTGCAAGATTTCCATTCCAGGTTGTGGATGGAATCTTCCAAGTTCTTGAGTTCCGCCTTTAGTTGGTTACCACTTGGAAAGCAGAACGGTTCTGGTCCAGTTAGTGGAGTGTTCGCTCCTTTCCTAGCTAGATTATTTGCTTTTTCATTGCCTTCTATCCCTTGGTGAGCAGGCACCCAGTGTAGGAGGACTTTGTTTTCTTTGCCTAATTTATTCAGCTTCTCTATGCATTCTTTGACCAATTTCGAATTGATTGATACTGAGTTGATCGCCTTTAACGCTGCTTGACTATCAGATAAGATGGCTATTTCTTGTTTCCGATAGTTCCTATCTAAGATAAGTTGTACGCATCTCTCGATAGCGTAGATTTCTGCCTGTAGGATACTAGGGTAAGTGCCCATTGGTTCGGAGTAATTAGCTCTCGGCCCAAACACTCCGATCCCTGTTCCCGTATTGGTTTTGGAAGCATCAGTATAATACGGGAACAGGGATCGCAGTGTTTGGTTGGGCCCAACTATAAAGAGGGTATCTAAATATGTGTGGAAGGCCATAATTAGAAATGGTTGAATAAGCTGAGAATAATGATGATGATGATTTTAGTAAGAATGTATATATTATACTTACTTTTCTTGTTTGGATGGTATTGTTTGGTTTTGAACTTTCACATTTTTCTCCTGCAAAGAGAATGCTGCCAACTGTAAACCATCAACCAGATACTTAATCCTGCCACCTAGAGAAACACTACTCCATAATTTACACAAAGAACTGTTTAAAATCCTTATAAACTATTACCTTCTAGTTTTTTCCACAGCATGTGGGTCAGATAAAACATTAGAGCTTGGCCAAAGAGTACAAAAGGCACCCATTGGTAGTAAGCATGATGTTTGACCTCGTCTGTGGAGTTAATACCATAAGATCCGACACCGGGATGGGGTAAATTTCCCATATCCAACAATTTGGCATTGAGGTCTTTAATCTGAAAAATAATTTAATAACAATTAATTCTTATGATATCTTCCAACTTCCAACTTCCAACTTTTTTTATTTTAATATGGGAGTGTTGTAGTTTGGTTATATATTTTTTTGGCAGCTTTAATTATTGTACATTGATGCTTGTTATCTCCAGGACCTCCCACAGTTTAACAAAAGCAAGTTATCTATCAAAATATATGGGACCACCAGCTTAAAGATAATTGAAACAAAAAGGGGTCCAAATATTTTGAAGCATCTACAACCAGTTAAAACTTGTTTTAGCACGTGGATTGGGGCAGATTTATTTTATTGTAACAATTACTGAATAATTGAACTTATTATTAACAAGCTGGTCCCTTTTATTCCATTTGGGCTATTATACTCTAGACTAAATTACATATAGTGTATTATTTATAAAAGCAAATTATCCTAGTATCTCTATAAACTAATCAGAATTGTGATTATTTCTGTGATCTGATTTCTGTATACTAGTTCTTTTAAAAATGGTTATTTGAGATATTATACAATTTTGAAATAAATGATCTACTTGGAATAATTAAGCTCATGTATAGTACATTCCTCAGTCTGACGCACCAATGAGTAAACATTCTGAGTAACCAGAGTAAACATTCTGAAGCAGACCTTTTTTAATATCATTTATTTCAGCACTAAGAGATAATGTTCTGACATTCCTATTTTGGTTGCTCCAGAATGCTTTCACTGAGAACTTGAAGTCTCTGAGATAGTTGCTTACCAAAGTAAAAGTACTGGTGAAAAAACAGTAAGTGTTCATCACATTTTCTGGCACTCCAGCATCGGCTATACAATGGATATGTTCCCCGATGTACTGCTTGGAACACACCAGAATAGTGGATGCTATCAGGATCAGAAAGGTTACCCTGTAATGCAGCTTGAAGACCCAATTATCGATGTAGTACCTTCTGGAGGTGATCTTTTTTATGAATGGAGTAACTCCTTCAAAAGTTTTCAGCATGTTGCCTGACGGAGGACTGAAAAACAATTGATCAAATAAAGTGTCTAAGTCTAAATTATTTTGTCTTAGGTAACCTACATAGATAAAAGAAACAAGTTTAGATTGGAAAGTGCCCATAAGGACAAAGTAAATACTATTTGGCGCTATTCTTGCAACGGTCGCGACCCAAAGCTTTTGAAAATTTCGGAGCGGTTCAGCTTTTTCCGGAATTATATCGCCAAATATTATTTATTCAAATTTATTATTATTTTCTTTTAATTTTATAAATAAAATACAGTGTGTTGCATACAAGAAACTTTATTTTATATAAGAACATGTATGAAATACCAGAGAGAAACTAATAACTAAAGTGAGAGGGCTTGTGGAATAGGGCATTTCGTAGACAAGTTTATTTTGTCACCGCGCATCCCAGACGCGCATAGCGTTTGGCGGTCACAAAAGGAAGTTTTCAACTTTGCAAGTTAAACATTTGACAGGATTAATTAGATTGTCAGTAGCTTTTTCTATTTCTTAGCTCTAGAAGGAGATAACTAAAATCTGTTGATAATCGGGGCAAATCGGAGTAATAAATTGTTTTTGACTGAATGTGCCTGTTCTTTTAGCTTGTCAGAAGAGAAGATTATTGTCATTATTGATTATTTCAGATTCCACAATTATTCAGCATTTTGTAATTTTTGTTTTGTGGTTGAGACCCAGACAAAACGTTTCCTTTAAAGGTAAGTTTTATCTCGGTAATTATTTTAACATACCTAATAGTAATAGTGAGTGGACATAATAATCGTACATCGCTAATTTAATTTTTTTAATTTAAAACATCACGTTCTTTTCTGATACCTAGGTATTATAAATTATTTTATTTATTTATATAATTATTTATATAAATTATTTTCTTCAACTGCTAGGTTCTTGTTATAGAATAAAGACCATCAAAAACATTGAATACCTACGGAATACCTACGTGCTTCCCTGTTCACTCCCAACCAAGTTAGATAAAAAAGAGACTGAAGATTGCAGCCTCGAGTTGGAGTATGATGGCAAGGAGTCTGGAGTTAAATAAATTATTATGTTCCTACACAGTATTTTATTTATAGGTTTTAATGCTTTAAAGTCTAATAATACATTTTCGTTGTCAAGAAAATAATCTAAAAAAACTACGAAGATTTCTTAGTATAAACTTGAAAGATTAAGATTCGGTTCAAATATACAAATTTTAAATTTTTGGCGCCTGTATATAGGTATGAATGCAACCTACTATATCGATAATACGCTCATAGTTCGGGTTAGACGCCAAAGGCCGCGCCACTAACACAGTCTTCAAAAATTAACGTTGATCGGTCTCTCTCACCTTAGTTATTAGTGTTCTCTCTGTGAAATACCTATGGAAACCGACGTTATGTCACGATCCACGTTGGTTTTTGCAGTTCACAGCACAGCTTTTTAGTTTTTAATGCCACTTTTCCACAATTATCATGGGTTGGATTAAATAAAACTTGAATTAAACTCACAAGATTAAAAGCAATAATTACTTTGAAAATGGACGCTATAAACACTTTTCGGAATTTCTTCAATGGGAGCAGTTTAGATTTTGAAAAATTTTTGAAGATTCTGACTTTGTCAAGAGAAAATTATTTCTATTTTTGTTTGCGGTTGTTCTTAGCAACCACTATAGCAGCGCCAGATCGCGTATACAACGATCGCGACCCAAAATAATTTCGCGACCTAAAATTTTTACGGGCTTTCCAATCTAAACTTGTTTCATTTATCTATGGGTAACTGCTTTTGTCGCCTTTAGGGCGTTCGTAAATTACATGAGACGTTTTTGAGGATTTTTTGAACACCTACTCCCCTCGCCCGCTAGTGAGATGTCATGAGAGTTACTTCGATCCCCCCCCCCTTCTCTAATCTCACGTGAGATCTTTCAAAAATTGTATTTTGAGTATAAATGCGTTGGATTTATTTAAAAGCATAATTTGCTTTAAGGTGCGTTTACACATTGTCAAGCAAATTCATCAAGTTACTTGAATTCAATTCGCATGAATACAGTATGCGACCGTCTGAACTCGACAAATCATGTCAATTGATCAAGTGAGTTGATTCAAGTTTCAGATGACAATTGTTTAACTTTTGACGTTCAAGTGGTGTTTATAAAATGACGGCCAGTAGGTAGTCAGAACAAAATGCTGTGTAGCTTATTAATATTTACGAAAATATGAGGGTGTACAGGGTGGGTCAAATTCGACGCTTTTAAATGGAAACACCCTTTTCTATAGGAGATAGACAAAAACTAACATCGGTATCTGGAGCTCAATTTTTGTCAAAAACATGATGGTGAAAACCGTATATCGATATCTGTTACCGTTTCGGAGTTACGGGGTGTTTTTCAAAAATATGCATTTTTAACAAATCGCTGTAACTCTTTTGCTATGGAAAATTTTGTATTTTTATGAAAACATTTCCAAAGCACCTTTTTACGTAGAATTTAATGGTTTAAGTATAATTTTTTTAAAATTAATAATTTAAGGATTATCAACAGAAAATTTGATTTTTTATATGGGACACCCTATATATTTTTAATTTATTGAAAATAATTTAAAATTACCTTTCCAAAAATATAACACACTTTATATTTTGCTCGATTGCTCTTCGAGATATAGAGTGTATAAAAATTCGCTCGCTTTAAATAAATAGGCTTTGAACGGCACCGGCTAGGTAAAAATTCTAGCTATGAGCATCAATTAAAACGAAAATAATATTTGCTACGAGAGATGCAGAATTTTATAACAATTTAAAATATATTTAACCAACATCAACACATTTAAACTACATATATCTAATAACAATAAAAATAAATAGCAAACCAAGACATGAGATTTTGCTACAGGTGTTCCACATATCGACCGTCTTCTGTTATGGACAGACGGGGCAGTTTTTGAACATTTCTCGCGGAATTCATTAACTCAGTAGGGGTGAAAGATATCCTCTTATTACTGCTAAGTATTTCTAATTCTTGTCTAGATTATACGGAAGAATAAAGAACCTTTATTCTTCCGCAAATATATCCATAGGATTAGATCCATGGGCACTAAGTCAGGCGGCCTCGACGGCCAACGGCTGGGATCTTGGTCAGCTATTCAATTATACTTGAAATTGGCTGCAAAAATTTGCTGATAACTTCAGCGTTCAGACGCGCTGCGTCTTCTTGCTGGAAAAATATGTTTTCGAGTTCCATTAAGGGCATATCATCAATAAAGGGTCGAAAGCCTTCTAGTTAAAAGTGGCGAACTTTTAAAAATTCTGTATTTCGAAGAGGATTATAACAAAATATCAAGTGTGCTGTATTTTTGGAAAGGTAATTTTAAATTCTTTTCAGTTAACTAAAAATATAGAGGGTGTCCCAAATAAAAAATCAATTTTTCTGTTGATAACTCTTTAATTATAAATTTTAAAAAAATTATACTTAAACCATTAAATTCTACGTCAAAAGGTGCTTTGGAAATGTTTTCTTTTGAAAATGCATATTTTTGAAAAACACCCCTCCGAATCTGTAACTCCGAAACGGTAACAGATATCGATATGCGGTTTTCACCATCATGTTTTTGATGAAAATTGAGCTCCAGACACCGATATTAGTTTTCGTCTATCTCCAATAGAAAAGGGTGTTTCCATTTAAAAGCGTCGAATTTGACCCACCCTGTACACTGTCCGGCAATAGTTTGTCGGGCATTTGTAGTTCCTAGAATAAAAAACTTGGAAATTTAATTTAAGTATAAACCTAAAGTATGTACGAGGATGTATCTCAGGGAAAATATTTTAACTTCTATATGGTGGCTCAAAAAAGTGTGAATGGATCGGGATGATTTTTTTAAATGGAACACCCTGTATATTATCGTATTTTTACCTCCCGTTCAGACCACTTTATATAATTCTAAGATATGAGTAAATGTTTTTCGATAGTTTCAGAGATATTAATAAATAAGTAAGAAATATATATATTTCAGCCTTTCTTAAAAAAAATATTAAAAATACAAGATCTATCCTAAAATCAAAACGATATTAGGTCGACTTTAAATGATCTAAACTTATTTTGCTATAAATATCGCCATATTAAATCATACAGTCATACAGGATGTTTAAAATTCAACGCCAAAATTTCTAAAATGTAAAATAATTTTTCTTTTTTTTTAATGAAGCCCTGCATATTATTTCTTTATTAGATGGAGAATTAAAAAATGAACATTTTTTGTATTTAAAGTATTTCAAAATTTTAATTTATTTTTTAATGGTTTTGCAGATACACACACTATTATTTCATATGGCTCTTTCAATGGTAAAATACGAGAGAAAAATTTTTGGGCGGCTTTGATCAAAATTTACTGTGGAAAATGCCATATGAAATATAAAACCGCAAATATCTGCGAAACCATTAAACATTTTGAAATACTCTAAATACAAAAAAAGGTTCATTTCTTCATTCTCCATCTATCGAAAAAATAATATACAGGGTGTTCCATTTAAAAAAAAAGAAAAAAATTATTTTATATTTTAGAAAGTTTTTACTATTACCATATTTACCGCAAGGAAAGTACAGACAAACTAAACTAAATACCTAATATAGTTTTGATTTCAGGACAGTTCTTGTAATTTTAATATTTGTTTTAAGAAAGGCTGAAAACTATATTTTTTTATATACATATATTAATATAAAAGAGAAAGAAATAGTGAGGAAAATGTATAAAAAAGAAGAAAAAAGATTAAACGGCTCCGCCCTCAACAACTCGTAACCGTATACACCAGTGTACACCAGTACAGACACGCACACCCACACACTCACACAACCACACCTACACTAGTGCACACTGATGTAACTGCCTTCAGGCTTCATCAGTACGGTAAGGATTCAGGAAGCGAAGAGACCGATCCCAAATCACAAAAATTCAGGAAGCAAACGATGCAACGAGGCACCGTGTGCAACCCAGGAGATGGAAAAAAAACTTGATGAAGAAACGAAAATAAATG